TGTTTAGGCCAAGCAAAGAGTTTTTATATTATAATATACCTTACATTTAGCTATTCTTCATCGAAATGATAAATAAGATATTTTTAATATATTCGAAAAAATATTTAAATCAGTAATGTGGAGTAATATTAAGATATTTAGAATTTTGTGGTTAAAGATAAAATTGTATTCAAAACTAATTAATGTATAAACTTAATTTTGATTAATATTAGAATCAATAATTCTTAAAAAAACTCAAAAAAATGAAGAAATTTTAATTAAAAATTAGATTGCCTATATCGAAAATTTAATATTAGCTTTAGCTTTTTCTATTGTTTTTGTATTTTGTTTTATTTATACTTAACTGTTTTATCTTTCTATATTTTCAGATATCTAGTGAAATTATTAGTGGGGGAGTACTCTTATAAATACCGAACATTAAATTTGGCAATAGTATCATTTAAAGTCAAAATTAATTAAGATGAGAAGAAATATTAATTCTCTTATTATTAACGTAATACATTCCAAAATATCAACAATATTTGTTCCATAATTAGTTTAGAAATGCTTTGGATAATAGAAGAGTTGGAAAGCCATATCATAATACAAGAATATTACATTATCTTAAACTTTGAAAAAATAAGTTTTTTTTTACTTAGAAATGTTTTTATAACACTAAAAGCGAGGTAAAAATACAATAAATAGGAAATTAAAGAAAAACTAGATTTAGATTAAAATTTGTGTATATATATTAAATTGAAATGTTAAGTGAAATTCTTGAAATAATGGAGAGACATTGTCTGTCCAGATTTATTTCTGAACTAAAAAATTATCTATCAAAATTAATTGTTTCTATTGAATATTCATTGATTGAATTTCTTCTAGCAAAATTCTAATTTAATAAGTTAAGTATGCCTATTTAGTTTATTGAATATTGATCATTTGGATCAATCTTTAATGATTTCTCAAAATAAATTAGAGCTTCTTTATATTTTTATTAATCTCTTAAACAATCCCCTAAAAATACAATTACGTTATACCTTTGCATTAAAGAGAAAATGTATTTTGTGGATTGATGGAAAGAACTTAATCCATTAAGTATAAAGCATCCTCATATTTATTTAACCATCTTTTATTTGATTTAATTAATAATATGTGATTAAACATGCACCTATTAATTATCTATAATTACACCTTTATACCATAAGGATTAATGGTTAATAGGATTTTATTGTATTGATTTATCTAATATTTATATTGCCTCATTATATTTATCTCCCTAATATAAATCATAACCTAAGGATTAATATAATATGATTACCTTTTTCATATAATTCATTAGATAATTTTTTTAAATTATCATGAATCTCATAATAATTAAAATATGATAATTATAATTATTCATATAAATTATTAAATGAATGAGTTAGTTTTTTTGTTTATTTTGAAATGATTGTTGTGATTGATTATTTGTATTCAATTAATTTGATGGTTGAATTTAAATAATCATTTAATTATAATGAATTCAAATGTACTAATCTTTCCTTCTATAATGAATATTTATATCTGATTCCAATTTTTATTTTTGAAAATGATTGATTCATATTTTCTACAAATGTATTAAGATCATTAATCAAATTATCACATTCATTATTTTTACTTTCAATAAAATCCATCAAATTGTTAATTTTTTCAACATCATCAAAATGATCTTTGATGGATTCTTCCTTTTTTAATATATTTAAAACAATTCAATCTAAATTCTGTGCAATATTAGTTGTATTAAACTGTGTCTATTTCATCCTTATGATCATCTTGTTAACATTTTAACTTTAGATTTGATTACTAAGTCATTTTTTTAATATTTTATATCTAATATA